TATGAGAGAGATATCCGTAATTACGTATTATCCGGGAGACTAGTAAACAATTAGTACAAAAAACAATAAGAAAACCAAATAAATTAATATATAAATAACAAAATTTGCCATGTTTATACGATTTAAAACATAAAAATAAGTGTTCAAATACTAACTTAAACGAGGTGTTTTAGGTTAATTTTTGGTTCGAAATCCGTTAAATCGGGGTTCGTCGTATTGTATTATATTAAACTTTACACGTAATAAATGTAAAAATTGCATGAATTTTGTAAATTGAAAGATCTTCTTTTAAGAAATTCGATGAATTTTGTCTGAAAGGGAAGATACTTTTTCAATCAATTTTTGTAATAAATTAGATTAAAAAAAAGGGAGTAATATTGCAATAATATTTTATACTAAACTGCAAAAATAATAATAAGCATCTATATATTATCGACTTCTTTTTTAATAAGAGTCAAAATACTAAAATAATAATTTACAGTAAAAATTTTTTTATGACTTATCTCCGAATTTGTAAGAGATTTTACATCTTTTAAGTAAATAATAAAGAATATTGCAAAGAATTTATAATAAATAATAATAATAAAGATGAATATTTGTTAAATCAGTTTCATTTTAAATCAAATTAAAACACTATTCACTAAAAAAAACGTCATAATTTAAGACAAAATTACGGAAACAAAATTTGAATTTAGAAAAAATGGAGGCGATTTTAAATGTTAACGAATCATTTCGTTATAATAACTTAATTAATTAAGTATAATAGAATATAAATTATTTAAAATCCTCTATTTATTGGCCTACTTCAATGTAATTATGCAAGAATAATTTTGTCTGTGGACTAAGTAATTTAATTTACAGTCGAATGAAGTGGAATATTAAAGTTGTAGGAGAAATAGAGTATAAAATTCCAACTTTATAACTAAAAATCAAATATTAATTATTAAAATATATAAATTTTGATATTTTATACAATAAAAAATTGTGTTTCTTATTAAACAGTGTGAATATAATTCAACTTATGTGAAAAAAAAAAAACAGAAAAACAATAAAGGCAACCTCTAAACGCGGCCATTTTTCAGGAAGATTGTTTTTCAAATGTTTACAGAATAATCTCCGAACGACGGCCATTTTTTATGTTCCCGTCAGTGGCCGTTCTTTACAGGTTATATATATATATAATGCTTATACTTCACATAAAAAAAAATTGAGTTATAAATACCTTCAGGTTGTACGTTGACTACACGTTTAATATTTCAAAAGATAATAAAAAATTTTCTTGTAATAATAATGTAAAGCGTGTAAAATTTGCCGGTAATTTTCCGTAGTAATGTTACATTAAAGCATTTACTGTTAACTTGTTTCCGATTTAAGTTGATATATTGCAGTGTTGTGTGCCAAGAAACCAATCGATTCTTAAAGAAAAACAACTGATAAAAAGTATATTCTACTCCACGCTTTGCTACACAACTTACACTTCCAAAATATATATATAAACTTTATTATAGATTATATATTGATTTATTTCACTAAAGTTAACGTTTAACAATTATTTTATTGCTTGAAATTTAGCAATCCTTGCTAATAAAAGCTTTTAGAGTCCATTGTTAACCAAATTAATCGTAAGGAAAACTTCAGGTAAAATCTGAAATCTCGTAAACTGACAAGCCAAAACTAGCGACCCAGTGAATTTCTCTAATTACTTCGAGTTTTATGTACTGTAAACCTAATTATCTTAGATATTTTGCATTTACAAGAACATTTTATGTACTGATAATGGTTTTATACTTTTGATAATGAAATTGTTGCGTGCCGCGGCCTAAAAAATACGTAACTTTTGCAGATTTTGATATTTATCTATGAAATCTCTAAATGTGTCAGATATAATATATATAAGAATTATCTGCAAGTTTTCTAAGAATAGAGCCATAATATTAAAAAAAACTGTTGCAGATAAGTGAAGACATCATCTTCACCATCCTCAGATACTTCTTCATCAGCTCCAACTTTAAAATCATGCAAAAATAATACAGTAAAAATGTATTTTGATGTCGATAATTAGTATTAATGCATATAATAATTGTAATATAAAATCTAGAGATGTTGATGAGATAATTTACTATAACTAAAATTAATACACTGGAGTGTAATTATCGCTGTAGAGATTTAAAGCGAATTAAATACCGTTTATATTAATAAATAGGAATGAGAAAACAGTTTAATTTTGTTGGAAACACGTCAAACTACCGAAGAGATCAAAAATTGAAAATCTGATCGATAGTCAGAGATAAGCTTTCACTCCACAATTGAATTGAGTCGCCGCTTTGATCCATTTATCCCTATCTTCCCATCCAATCCAAGCTGTCAACAGAAGGGACACGTGTCTCAATTCTATTCTCTCATCCATCAACACATTGTCCACAGTAACTCAGCATGTTCCACTTCGATTAAACTGACAGATTGGCTTAAAAAATGCGACAGAAACACGCCGGTTTTCCGTTTTCTCGACCTCTTCTTTACTCATGCAAAGGCATCTTTGGTCTATCGCCTGTAAAAACGACATTTTTTTTTAACAATATGTAACATTAATAAGCGTTATTTTGCTAAATATTGATGCCTTTTGGGAATGTTTCGCCTTAGATATCGAATCTGTTCCGCTTTAATTCTTTATTGTAGCTGCGGGTAGATAGATAAATGAGCTCTCCGCCGTGTACCGAACAATGTTCGATAGTTTAAAATTGCCTTAAGTGATATTTAGTTTCGTGTAAACTGTTAAATTTATAAATTTCTCTGTAAGGGACGGCTATTTTCGTTCCGCTAATCACTTTAAAAACGAATTTTTTATACCCAGACAATGGCTTCAATGTGAAATTATGGCATAGCATTTCATATAATTATTCAACTGTTTATTAAATGCATTACAGAATACACACATTCTGTTCACATTATGAAAGAATCACGTAAAAGTCTAACTTTAATTAAATAAGAATTTCAATAGTAACCTTATACATTTAACAGTCAAAATCTCCATTAATAAAGATCTAATGCTAATTTTTTTTCTAATTATTTTACCAGTTAATTGCCAGCAAATGCAAATTAGTTTATTATTAATTGAATTAGAAAATTTACAGGAAAAATATACTTTACTCATTTTCTTCACTGTTCGGGAATTAAACACTGCAATTACAACGCTAATAAAACAAATAAAAATTAACGAATTAAGTTTGTTTGGATAAATTGTTTAACTAGATAATTAACTTTTGTTTTTCTAACTTGATTAATATCTTGGGAACACTCTATCAATCAAATTCTGCAAACAAACAATGTTTGTGCTTGTGTGTATGTGTTGTGTACGTATTGTGTGTGTTGTGTGTGAAAATATACACCTGTGTATTTGTAAGACAATCAGAGACAGAAATTAATATCTCACTTAAAAGTGTGACGCCGACCAAAAGGGTAAACATAATTCTGACAGCTGAAGTGGACATCTTTGTAAGCATAATTTATAATTCGCGTCTTACATATACCTAAGACATTTTTCTTTACTTTCGAGGCGACAGAATATAATTAAAAGCGAAAAGTTTAACGTAAAAGAATGTATGGAACTACTTTCCATTCAAAAAGAGTTGAGCAGTTTAAAACTCAATATGGAAAATTGAGGCAACATCCGATAATGGAAGTTTTTGCTTGCTACAAATACACACATTATAAAAGTGTACTTCGCCAAATTGCACTTGAACGTGACATCACGCAGCCCATCAAAACACCAAAGACATTAGAATGTTTCTAGTCCAACAATCTTCCACGACGTGATGTATAAAAAATACTTTCATTTTACGTGACAAAATAATAAAAAAAAAAGATTGTTTGATCTTTTTAAATGTTTATTTAATCAATAAAAGACGTTTGACTCGACAGTATTCTAGAAAATACAACCGCACCTAACTGTAGCGTATGTATGTTTTCGTCAACTGACCGCTAAAAATTGCAATTTTTCGCGTGTCAAACGATGAGAAAAGAGTAAACACCGTTCAACGACGAAATGTCAGTTTTTTTTTATGGTGTCGAGTTGTGGAAGGTGATATTTCCTGATGCTGTCATGCTTAGGTAAGTGAAAGTTTCATTAAAAAATAGAGTGTATTCCAGTTTTAATCAATTTAAAACCTTATAAAAAAAAAAAGAGTTCATCTAAAAATAATTCAGAGAGAAAAATACAAAAATAAAATAATCTAGATCTGGCATTTTATGAATTATTTATATATTTAAGATTTAAATTTATTGCAAAATTGTGTCCATAATCATTTACTTTTAAATTTGTAAACCTGAAAATAATATTTTTTCTAACAGCAAAACTGTTTTTTTGTTGTCAATGTGCATAAAATTAAGTCCAATAATTATGTTAAATTATTATTATCTTGTAATATTTTAATTAAATAAAGAGATTTTCAATGAAGAAGAACAAGTAATACGACTTTTTATAGGTAATTAAAGTATAATAAAAATATCTCCAGGATTTCATATTATTTCTACTAATTAAATATGAGTCTGCATCTTTTATTTGGGTTATTTATTATTTTAGGTTAGGTTAGGTTATTATTATTTATATTTACTGTTTATAACTTCATAAATATTAGTCCAACAATGAATATAAATACTTGTGCATATGAAAAAGTATAAAAACAATCTTCCATTTGAATTTTAGAAAAACAACTGTTTTACTATAAATAATTACATACTTTAATATAGTTGTTATATGTGTTTGTTATGTTAAGATTAATATTAGAAAATAGTCAATTGTTTTTCTGACAAAAAAAAAGTTAATATATTAATAAAACTGACATCATTTGCAATGACCTCATGAATCTATATTAAATGTATTTCTATTAAGCATTGAGTTAAAGAGCTAAGTAAATATTTTGAAACAAATGTTAATGTACTTTGGAAAAACTTTTTGGTATCAATAAATTACACGATATAAAACTTATTTATTTGTTGTTTATTTATATAATTTCACTTCTTTTATATAAACTATAAATATGAAACATTTGATAACAAGTGCATTCACTGTGTCAAAATAAAGTTATTTTCATTAAATTAATAATAAAAAAAATATATTTACATAAGAAAGTCTGTTTATGTTCTTTCTTAATTATTTTATATTTACATGCATATTATATTTTTGTATGTTTACTTTAAAGAAACCAAAAATAGTTACATATTTTTAAGAACTTTTCTGTTCTTTACTAATGTGTTGACTGGGCAAAGTCTTCCCTCGCCATTGCCTTATTCCTCTGTTCTTGGAGCCTAATGGTGTAGCATCCTTTTTTATTGGAGGGCAGAATGGCATTTTTGTTTTTGCTGAAGATGGACTGGTTAGCGGAGGAAGTGGAGGAGCTGATCCATATTTAGATAGGATGCTAATTCGTGCTTTTATTTCAGATGATTTTAAGTCTTCCGGAGAATATTTTGTTTCTACAATTGCTGATGAGTTGTCTGTATCATCTTTAGATTTTTTCAAAGGAGGACTATATATTGGAGTTTTTAAACACAAAGGACTATATACAGGATATAGTTTACGTTTAATAGGAATATTTGATTTTTTTATATTAATTAAGGGTGATATGTCTTTTTGAAACTTCATGAAAGGAGATATATTTGCTGGGGGTGCTATAACTGGACTGAATAGCTGATTGAGCTGAAAATTTGCTAGTTGATCTTGTGCTTGTTTTACGAAATTATTAACATCCTAAAAAATACAGAGTAATATACATAAATATTTCATTTTATTTAATAAATAATTAAATATTCATGTTAAAAGTTAATTTAAGTTAAAAATGAGCTTTATAAAATTTGATTAAAATACTTGTATTGACGTCTTTAAATGATGCATAGCTTCTTTCATTATTGGACTTCTTGGACAAGTAGAAAATAATGATAATTCAGTAGCCATAGCAGTAGAAATTTGATGACCATCTTTGCAAATGTTAGAAAGATTGCTAGCAGCTACAAATTGTCCAGGTAATAACATATCCTCTAAACCAAAAGCCTATAAAATTTTTATTTTATTTTATGCTTGTAATTTATTTTATCTATAAAGCTGAATATTTTCAAAAATACTTACATCAACACCTTTAGGAAATTTTATTGCAAGAAAGCAGAATTCATCATCACCCAGATAAACAATCTGTTGTAAACTATTTTCATTGGAAACTACTGAAACAACTATACCCACAACATCAAATTCTTGAAAATCAGATTTACTGTTTATTTCTGAAAACTTGGTTACCTTAACAAATAATAAATAATATATTATCATTTTTATCATATGTATTAATGAGGTGAAAATAATATTTAAGAATTAAGACTGTAAAATGAAATTAAAAAACTACCTAAATTAAAGGAAGAGTATAAAACAAATATTTTATTGATAATGATATGTAATGAGCAATTATTTATTGTGACATTGTCACAATGCCAGCCAGCTACAATTTTTAATCATCTTTTAATTTAAAAAAATTACACGACTTCTGGTCCAAACCAAAGGTTTGTATATAGTTAATTTGGGTCTCCGGGTCCTAAGCTTTCCATATCTGGTGTCAATTTCAGGTATGTTTCACCCTGTACATCACTTTTCTGATAACAATTAAGTTATACCAGTCAGCTATCTACCTCCATTCTGGAAAAAAATTTGAATTGAAATCATGTAACTTACAGTTTAAACTGGAAATTCATATATAATTAATTGGGATCTCTGGCTTCTAAGACTTCCATATATGCTCTCAATTTTCATCTATCTAACTTTATTCTTGAGATTAACAAAGAACAGACAGATGAATGACAGTGGAAATGTATAGGTTTGCAATTTGAAAATTGCAACCTAATAAAGATATCATTAACAACAAAATATATTAGTCTAGGGAATGGGATCCTTAGAAACCTTACGAATTTTTCATGGGCAGTCTGTCTCAGATGTCAATTCCCATGCATCACTATCCATCCACCCCCATTATGGGTATGATTAGAAAGCTCCTTTAGTACCCAGAGAGTAAAGAGTTAAAAAAAATATATAAATAAATAAATATATTTTAGAATTTCCACTATAAAAGCAATGTTTTTCATATGACACTTTCATAAATTCAAAAGAAAATACATCATCTGAGATAAAAGTAACTTAAGAGAAAAATGTATTCAAAATGAAAAAACTGTTATCATCTCAATAAGTAAAAGATTTGATCAATATAAACTCATTTATTAAGGAAGTAGCAGTACCCAGCCACGTGTTGCTGTGGCTCGAAATGTATCTATTATAAATGTATAACTACAGAAGGAATTTCGAAAAATCCCTTCTTAGTGTACATTCTCTTGATGCACCCTATTAAAACGCAATTAAAAACACAAAAAACCATGTCTAAAACAGAATAATGGAAGACCAGTTCTTCATGGTAAGCCTTAATTTTGTCCCTCACCCCCATGGGGGAATTTTGACATCTATATAATATAAAAACATGTGTGTATTCAAATGCAATATTGTGTCAAAATTTCAAAGCAATTGGTTAAGAACTTTTGGAGATTTAAGATTGTGAACAAACGAACATTTACATTTTTATTTATATAGATTATCGGCTTTGACTATAAAAATAAAACCACCAAGTATTCAGAGAGAAACAAACAAACATTATTGCTTAGCTTGATAAATTTTTTAATGTAACACATTTTATGCATGACTATGAGTTTTACTATGAACATGTTTTGAATTTATTAAGATTACAATTCAATTTATAAAATAGAATTAAAACTGAAAAATAAAACATACTTAATTCAATTGTTTGAATAGGAATAAAATTATTATGCAATAAAATAATAATAAAGGTTCACAACTGAGCTGAAAGTATTTATTGCATTAAATAAACAAAAGATATTTCTTTTCATTCATATTTATTAAAGATGTTTACACTATTGAATTTTCATGTATAAAAATATGTCTAACATTTATTTAATTTAGATATTTTTTAGAAATAAATGTATAGCTCATTAGGGTAGAATGTAAGGTGGTGTTCAATAAAATTTCATACATTATCTTAAGAAAATTAATATTTGATACATTTTCAGGGTCATTATGTTTGTGAGTTGCAATTAAATATATTTATTGCATCATCCTTCTTAAAACTAAACAATTTTCTTTAACTGAAAAAACTTAATTTTCCATTAATTGAAAAATTGGGCTGCAATTTGAAGAAATTGTATATCTATAAATTCCTATTGTCGTCTGTCCACCTTTCTTTAATCTCACTAATGGAGTTAGATAGATGAAAGATGAGACAACATATGAAAACCTTAGGGGCAGGATGCCCGATTAACTATATACAGCCGACCCCCATAACACTGTTGATAATTCCGTTTTATATGAATTCCATGTTGTACGAGTCACTTAGATTTTACAAATACATGTGCCAGGCTGTGAATGGCTCACATATTTGTAAAATCTAAGTGACTCATACAACATGGAATTCATATAAAACGGAATTATCAACAGTGTTATGGGGGTCAACTGTACTATATACAAACTTCTGGTGAAAACCAGAAGTCATGTTAATTCAATTCAAAACTTCTCCTGAGTGGGCATGACTGGCACAATTCTACTGTTAAAGTAAAAGTATGATGTACAGGGGCAAGCCACTACTAATTTGAGGTGGAAAGCATATATTTTAAATTAAATAAATTTAAAATATGATTAAAAACAGCAGCCTGACATTGTGATGATGTCACAATAAATAATTGCTTGTTTTATATTCTGCATTTCAAACAGAACACAAATCTTTTTATGGATAATTTTCATGAAAATTTTAATATAAATATATTTCAATAAATTTAAATTAAATCTAAATATCTAATGTTTTTACTTCTCTAAAAGTTTACAAATTCATCTATCCAACTAAACATATTTTAAATATTAATGGAATCAATATTTTTTACCTTCCATGCTTTCTTGGAAAGCCATGAATTAAATTTAACATTTACTAAAATTTATGATGATGATTTCACTTTAAGATAACAACTCACCTTTCTGGGAATATAAAGAGATTTTATTATATCAGAACTATTTTTTATTTCTTCATAATCAGTTAATTTTGTGCTGTTTAACTGAATTTGCCTTTTCCAATTTCTGAAAAACAATTTGATGTTATAAATTTATTTAAATTAAAAGAATTTAAAAAATTTTAATTTTTATTTAAATAGTTATTTACTTTATTTACTATTTTTCAAAATAGTAAGCTCAACACTATTTTTTATTCAAGAAACTTATTATCAATCAGATAAAATTTTAAAAATTTGTAAATTTCTCTACTTGTACTTAGTTTTATATTTGTTTTTATATTTCTACTTTAAAACTTTAAGCCTTCTCTTTTACATTCTCTTTATAAATGTTGAATAATGTAGAAATATATAAATCTGGTTTGCTTTAATTAGCTTGTGGATACTATCTCTCATTTTTTTCTATGTAACCAGAGATTTTTTCACCAATTATCTATAAATAAATCTCTCTTTTTATCTTTAATTTTATACTGAATAAGATTTAAATTATCTATAGTTCTATTTATTCATTAAAATATACTTTCATTAAATAAGACAAAAAATTATCACATGCTATGGATTCAAGTATGAATCACATTCAGAAAAGCCAAAAAACAGAAGAGAATAATCAAGTGATTCCCAAGTTGGAATCAGAAAGCATCCAAAACAAATATGTATTAACAAGACCTCAGTTTGTTGAACTACATTTGAAAACCAAACTAGATCAAGAAGCAAATACATTGGTCTATTTCTAAGGGAAAATAGAACGTAAAGTTCATATGAATATAATTAAATTAAAGAACAAGATCAATAAAGGTAATAATAAAATAAAATTGTAGAATCTATCTACCTTCTCAGCAATGCTATATATTTATAATAATAAATCACACACACCTGAATTTTTTGCCGAGTTATTTTTGTTTATTCCAAACGTTTTCGGCCAATTCATATAGGCCATCTTCAGGTTTTAATAGTTTTCGTTGTAATGGAATCATTCGTTCGAAATTCGTTTGAATTTGAACTTATTACAACTTTTATGTATAATAAATAAATTAAACTAAATATATGATAAAATGTAATCTAAAAATCGCGTTTCAATTTAACAATAAAAATAAAAGAAAAATTATAACTTTGAGTTTGAAATACTAAAAACTCCAGAAAATGCAAATGTTTATGGATTATTAAAACCCATATTTTTCTCAATTTTATATTTCCAAGCCGTTGGTAATGCTTTTGCATCTTTTGCATTTAGGCATCTGTCCCTCATCTTACTTCTGTAAATCTCTATTTTCTCCATTTCCATTGCGATGGAAGGTGAGTGTCCCGTCCTAACAATCTTGGCTTCATCCCATTTGACTACTGATCCGTCTGCCTGTGCCATACTTGCTAATATCGTACTATTCAGTTTTTTATTTATACTATATTTGTGCTCCTTTAGTCGTACTTTCAGGTTTCTTCTGGTTACTCCGATATACTCTTTCTCAATACCTAATTGTTGGTTCTCAAAGGGTATACTGTATACACCCGGTTGGTCTTCTAAATTAATTTTGTCCTTGTCGTTTCTTAATAATCTATAAATATTGGGTGCTCTTTTATATATTATCCTTGCATTTTTGTATTTTCCTAATTCCTTCACCACCTTCTTCGTTTGTTCATTGTATGTGAACTTATTGAATGTAGTATTGTTGTTATGGTTTGGATTCGTAGCTTTTTGTTTACCGTAGCTTTTTACAAGGCCTATGATTGTGGACTTTCTGTATCCTAAAGTCCTTGCTATCTGTTGAATTCTATTAATTTCTTTATCCCTGTCTTGTACATTGGTGCAGTACAGGAAGGCCCTTTTGATCAGTGCCTTAAACGCAGATAATTTATATTTATATGGGTCTTTTGACCATGCCGGTATGTATAAAGGAGCGTGTGTTGGTTTTAAATATACGTTCGTTTGTATGTTTCCTAATTTGAATTCCATGTTAATATCCAAGAAATGGATGTNAAGGATAATATATAAAAGAGCACCCAATATTTATAGATTATTAAGAAACGACAAGGACAAAATTAATTTAGAAGACCAACCGGGTGTATACAGTATACCCTTTGAGAACCAACAATTAGGTATTGAGAAAGAGTATATCGGAGTAACCAGAAGAAACCTGAAAGTACGACTAAAGGAGCACAAATATAGTATAAATAAAAAACTGAATAGTACGATATTAGCAAGTATGGCACAGGCAGACGGATCAGTAGTCAAATGGGATGAAGCCAAGATTGTTAGGACGGGACACTCACCTTCCATCGCAATGGAAATGGAGAAAATAGAGATTTACAGAAGTAAGATGAGGGACAGATGCCTAAATGCAAAAGATGCAAAAGCATTACCAACGGCTTGGAAATATAAAATTGAGAAAAATATGGGTTTTAATAATCCATAAACATTTTCATGTTCTGGAGTTTTTAGTATTTCAAACTCAAAGTTATAAATTTTCTTTTATTTTATTGTTAAATTGAAACGCGATTTTTAGATTACATTTTATCATATATTTAGTTTAATTTATTTATTATACATAAAAGTTGTAATAAGTTCAAATTCAAACGAATTTCGAACGAATGATTCCATTACAACGAAAACTATTAAAACCTGAAGATGGCCTATATGAATTGGCCGAAAACGTTTGGAATAAACAAAAATAACTCGGCAAAAAATTCAGGTGTGTGTGATTTATTATTATAAATAAAATTGTAGAATTTACAAGTTACATATGTATCAATTTGAATGATACATAGGTAATTGATATATATATGGGTAGCAAGTCCTCATTTAATGTCATTTTGTTATAATATCATGAAGGAAAGATACAAGTACATTTATAATCATTTACAATTATTGTTGTCAAATTTTTTTTATAAACAGTAAAATTGATTCTACAACAAAGAAAATAAATGCTGGAGGTTGCAAACATAATCCAATTAGAATAATATCAACAAAATAAAATCATGTTTACATTAGCTTAAAGTAAAATTAATTTTGTTTTACATTATTTTCACTTAATGTTACAGTTTCCAAGAACCTATCAATGTTGTTAAATGAGAATTTGCTGTATATAATTATATGTTATATAGATTATATATGAAACTTGAAACTTAAATGAAACTTTTTTTGATGTAAACATCAGCAGTTTTTCTGGCATTACAGTAAAATATTTTGAAAGATGATAAATCAGCTTTCTAATTTATCACAACTTATTCAAAATAATTATTTATTAAATACTAAAAACTAATTCTGAACAGAAAGCAACATGTGACCAACATAATCATATTTTTAAGAAAATTATTAAATTCTTTTCTTTGATTTTGCATAGCAGAAACCTATTTCATTATTCCCAGTTTTTATGACTGTATATATTTTCTATCATGACTATGAAATATTATATCAAAGCACCATATTTTTTATTGGTTATCTCAGAGTATGAAATTATACAGTTTAAACTGTATTTCCAATAGTATAATCTCAATTTATTGCATTAAATCTACGAGAAATAAAATAAATCACCAAACGATCGCCTTAATATTGGGCTATAATATGGCTAATTAAATGATTAGTATAAAGTAATTTGACATTAGAGGTAGATTTTATACTAATCATTTAATTAGCCATATTAATTACTTTATACTAATCATTTAATTAGCCATATTATAGCCCAATATTAAGGCGATTGTTTGGTGATTTATTGTATATTTCTTGGGCTTTGAGTTGTTATTATTTATATATATATATATACCTTGCCGGGTATTACGTTAACTGGCTGAGTGCCGTTGGGGTCGTGGGTGATGAAGTCGTCCCCAGTCAGTGATGTATTTAACCAAGTAAAGTTATATTTAATCTAATATACTTCTGGAAGCGAAGACTCGCTCGGGGTCTTGGTGGCATAACTGGCAAGCGCACAGCACTGCAAGCGGAGGTTGCAGGTTCAAGCCCCGTCCCAGGCCAGTTCTTTTATTCCAGAAGGTTCTAAATTTATTTAATAATTTATTTATTTAATTTGTAATTATTAATTTACTTAAGAGATGGCACCTAACATCTACCTCTAATGTCAAATTACTTTATACTAATCATTTAATTAGCCATATTATAGCCCGATATTAAGGCGATCATTTGGTGATTTATTGTATATTTCTCAGGCTTTGAGTTGAGAAATAAATCACTAGGTTTATTATGATGATTTGCTTAAAAACAATTTCAGAAACTAATTATGATGGCCATAAAAATGGATGGTAATATACACTGCTTTGATGTTAAAATAAAATTGCTGAACTAATTTAAAAAATATAAATATAATGCCTACCGCTTAGTACCAGGAATTAAATTAAATATCCTTAGTAATTTTCCTTCTGTTAACATTTGTAGAGATTTTTCTGATGGAGACCACACAGTTAATATACAGGCAGCTAAAATAAGCAAAAACAATAATAAAATTAATTATCTTTTAAATCTATAAAAAATTAATAACAAAACACAGGATATGTTCAAATAAGCAAATGAAGTTTGAGGAAAATTAAAGTAATCATTGAAAAATTTGCAGTAGAAAAATAATATTACAGCAATAGCCTCAAAAACATTACAACAAAATGGAGTAGCATCTCAACTAAGACTATGGACAAAAATTCACCAAGTTGCAGAGAGATCCTGTGTTTTAAAAGTGAAATTGAAACATTCAATATCTGAATGCTAGGTTAAAACAAATTAAGCATGTATAGACATTATGAATGTAAGACATAGTGCATTGGGTGATCATACTACAGGTTTCCAGTAAAGAAGGATAGTGGGGAAGCAATATTTACTTTATTTCTGTTATGTCATTGCCTACTTACATGAGTATGCACATGTAATAGAAGTTTGTTAGTCTTGGTTACCAAACCACAGTTTTGATTTTAATGAAAAAATGAAACAGAGCTTTAAAAAGAACCAAAGAAGAAACTACATTTTTATTTCTAAACTCTTTTCAACACTATTTATTAGATAAAATTTCTTATCAACTTGAATTAAAATAAAATATTCATTTGTTTCTGCATGGAAAATTTGCATATTAATAAACTGCATTTAAAATGTTTTTCTGAATTGTGTGAGGCTCTGGACAGGTCCGAACCCTCACTAAAATTCACACTAAAATAATTGTTATAAAGAAAATAATATAGTAGTTAGAGATAGATTTTTATTTTATGAAAACGCGACGCTAACTTTTAAACAATAGAAGAATGTAAGTCTGTCGACCATTTCCAGTTGGAGATCAAATTAAACTTCGATTTTGACCTCTCCCGCGCCCTTGAAAGGTTTCGAATTGTCATCAGGTGACGAGGAGAGACCAATCGGAAAGGGGAAATCTGAGAGAAAACAGATAAAACCCCAGAAATTCGAAGACGCGACGGCTTCTTCTCCCGAAAGTTTCAAGTGACGGATCTGTTGTTGTGTGTGTGTCTCGCATCCATCTTTGTCTCCATCTCCCGACCTCGGATCGACATCTTTCCATCAACGGAAGTCAACTGCATCGTCCCGGAGTCATCAGACGTGATGGAATGGTTCATTCGCGAACAAGGGACACTCCTTCAAAATGGGACTATCTTGGAAAGGAGAGGAAGACCCAGAGGCCGCAACCGCCGCAGAACTTCCAAGATCGTGGAAATCTTGTAAGCTTCTTTTGTGTTTAATAAACGGTTGTGTTGTTTGTAAATGAAGCATCTATCTCTGACTCAACTGATTCCACATGTCGTTGATTGTTACCGCTCGGCAATCCAAACAGCAAGGGAGACGATGACGATATATATCACATATTATCGTTCATCGAGTTTTTTATTTCTCCCCTCATCAGCCCCCACAATTGTCTTGATTGAGTAGTTAGATAGAAATCTTATTGTCCTTTTACACATATTTTCCTTTATTTTTCATACTTTTTGTAGATATATTTCAATGTTAACATTTTTTATTTTATAATAAATTTTAAAATGTTATAAAAATATAGTTGCATTTTCAAAAAGAAATAAAATAATGAAAAAGTCTGTCAAAAAACTCTAAAAGAATTTTGGCAAAAAAATTGGCACATTTCTTAAATAACTTTTTAGAAAACATTGCACAACAATTATCATCGTAAAGATTTTGTTTTTGGATATTAAACCATTAATGTTCCAACACTAAAAATAAGTCATCATGGCATGGATGACACTTGTCTTGTTTGACTTCATTTTTATTTCCATTAATCAATGTATTACATCAAATTAATAACTATATATATTGTCTTATGAAGATAATAAGTGCTTAAATTGAAGAGTTCTTTTAACTAAAAAATTTTAAGTTGATTTATTAGTTTAGTGTTTTGTGACAAATTATACAGTAGGCCTATTAAATTATTTTTATAATTAAATCTGAATTTTCCAAACTAGAGTCGATTCTGTTTAATTGAGCCACTGGTTAATCGGGGCAGCCACTTTATTAGGCCAAACCTGAATGGAAACCAAACTAATAAATTAATACATAATTTAATTACTTAATTCGGACAGTAACAGAAAAATAATTTAGCAAGTTTTGATATATTTTAGAGATCTTCCGAAAATATATTGACACTATGTAGTACACTAATGTCATATAGGCCTAACAATTGGCAGAGACAAAGCGATTTTGTATTTTGCTCAGGCAGTTCAGTTTTTCAAGAGGGGGTCACCATAGTGGGATGTATCACACGGGAATCTTATCTGAGATGGACCTGAATGCAAGCTACTGACCCTGCTCCAGATTGGACCAGACGATCCCTCTAAAAGCAAAGGGACAAAGATCCCTGGACAATTTTTCAAGGTCTCTCGACTGAGTTGAAGATAGCTAGTTTCCTTGGAAGGTATTGTGTGCATGATTATGTCTAAATTTGAACAGCAGCCATTCAATCATTGAGACCAGCATCCGGAGCTGGCGGATTCTATGGACGCTCCTGCCAAAGTGGCCCATCTCCAAGTAAAGGAAATTGTGCTCAAAGAAAGACCCTAAAGTGATTTTTGGACAATCCGTTTTAGTTATAACATGTTCTAACTAAAAAGAGAGAAAAGAAAAATCATTTGATCAGGAATGAATCGAACGGTCAACCCTTGCATATGTCACTACTAATACTGTATTTGGTAATACTATTGTCGTGAGTCTGGCAAATTTATAGTTCAAATATTTTCTGTATTTTGATTTAATAAAGCATTAAAATAGGAACCTAATTATTACTTTTTACTTATTTATTTATTTACCTATGTATTACATATTTTATTTTAGAATTTATTATTAGTTTGTTTAATTGGGGAGTCCGCTTAATTGGGCCAAAATAGATTAGTCTTAATGTGTCCCAATTAAGCAGAATCAACTGTCTGTAGCAGGGATGGCCAACAGTTTTTGCCCTGAGCCAAATTGGAAAGAAAACTTTTTCCATGGGCTGAACCAGAGGCTACCCTAGGAAGATTTTGAGGTGGTGCGAGATCTCATTGCAGTGTCACCCCATAGAGACTAAATTGTATAAATACATAGAGATTACAGATACATTTTTCACATTATCATCTTTATCAACATTCTACGCTGTACTTAAGAGATTTGTAATGGAGGGTTAACTCTAAACGCACAGTGAGTTGTTGACCGTTTTTTTTTTCTTTCTTTTTTTAAACATCAGAGTTTTTCATTGAGCTATTCAGACTTCAGTACCTAATATCGAAAGATTGATCTCAGGCCACATAAATTCATTAGATGGGCCGGATCTGGCCTGCGGGCCATATGTTGGCCATGCCTGGTCTATAGTAATGTGACCAATCATCCTCATTTTGTAAGTTCTCGAAAAGTGTCCTCCTACATGTCCTCCTTTTTGTTATTTGAAGGCTAATCTGTAAATCTCTGTATTTGATCAATGCTGAACCAATCCATTGCATGTGATGTGATATGACATGTTTGTATTTAACATGACGAGTCATCAAGGCTCTATACAATGCAACGAGATGCAATTATGAGACGCATGCTCTTCGCACAGGAGACATTGAAAGAGAAAGAGAGTGCGCACACAAATGGCTTTGTTTACTTCTTATCGAAACATGACATGGCACCTATGCATGCAATAGAGATTATTATAGTGAATTATTGTTGCAATGAATAAAATGTTTTTTATTTATGATATTTTTTTCTTCAATTTATTAGTATTCTCCTTTTCATTGTAAAAAAGTTGGTCACCTTAATATAGTTATTAGTCAATTCTTCATAAAATGTTTTATTTTGTGTGATAGTGTGTAAATTTTTAGAAAAATCTTGTATGCAAAATTTATATTCTGGGGAAATTTTGAGTCTGAAATTTTTCTACACCCCTAACAAACAGTCCATATTCAGGATGTCTGGTTTAACAGTACAGAATATTAAGATAATTATTCTATACAAAAATTAAGAAAAATTTAGAATGCATTCATTTTATAGCATACAGACATTTAAAAAAAATACAAGAAAAGCTATATTGTTGTTTTAAACATGCAATATTTAGAGTAGCTTGCAAAACCAATAAAAAAACTTTTTAAAACATAAAAGAAAACAATAAATTAAAAAACAATTAATTATGCATAAAATCTCCAACTTAATTTAAATAAAACACAATGTTTTTGGTTTTTGGAATTTACATTGTATCAATGGAAGAACCTTCACATAAAATAAAAACAAAGAAAGAAGTGGTAAGAGATTACATCTGTAAAAATATTGCAAACTAATATAATGAACAATAGTAAAAATAAAAATAAATATAATTTATTAAATTCATTTAAATTAAGTCGCAACCTTATTTTTTTTATTTCATAATAATATGATTTTAAAAACTTTTCATTTAAAAATTAAACAAATAACTTTTGATTTAACAGAATAAAGATTAATTTTAACAAATTCTTCAGTCTAAACATTCTCCAAAATTAAATCTTTATTTATATTATGAAAATTACTAAATTTTATAAAGTATTTAATTTTAAATTAGAATCAAAATCATTAAAATATCTCTTTGGTTATTTAGCATCTACTTATGTACAGTCAACCCCCCCATAACACAAGTTCATGTAGTTAGGATTCCTATATCACGGTGAAAAAATTGCGACAGTATTCATACAAACATGCTAAAAAAACTCCTATAATTCGGTAAAACGTCATCGCCAACTCATGTCACGACAGGATTGCACAAACCGTTGAGTTTAAACGAGCAGCAGACCTACTAAAAACCACTTATTATTTAACGTCCATAAAAATTATATTTATATTAATAATGTCTCCAAAATTCAGCGAATTTTTCACAAAAAAAAATAATTTATCAGGAAGCATGCGAGCGCCATTCGATGACAATCTCCACGATGTAAACAAGCTTAAGCAACGGCGTAGTCGAACGGTGTACACTCGATAAGTGATCCTACAATTTTTTGTTTATAGCATAGTTTATATGGATTATTCCCAAAAAATTATACTTATTTTGGAAATGTTGAGTCGAATTAGTCTAGAATCGATCAATTTTATGGAAGAAACCTTTCAAACAGCCGTAGTCTGTAAACTGCATACGTGCCGGGCTGTGATTGGCTGGACTCGTAAAAGCTGGATTCATAAAACTCTGAACGTATCTATTGTGTTATGGGGGGGGGTCGACTGTATTCATGTAGTATGATTCTCTTGCTGCATGTTAATAATTTTTTGTGCTAATGTATGTTTTTGATTAATGAAGACAAATTTTAAATTGTAGGAGTAAAAATTTTCAATTTTATAACTGAAAAAGTATGCCATTACATTTTTTATAAACTGACCAAATGTCTTTTCTATATTACTATACTATGAAACATCAAAATGCCTTTAACTAATACTGTACTTATTTCCTGATATAATTATGCACTTTACAGTTTACATTGAAAACAAATTTTCATTTAAAAAAACATAAAAATATTAAAAAGAAGTTAACAGAAGACTGAGAAGACTGTTCACTGAAGTAATACTATTTCATGCATATTAGATAATTTTTCACTCAGTATTTGTGTAAATACAAATTTAATATTGACAATATATAAATTAGTTATGACCAACACATACACTTACTCTCTCTTTTTTATTCCGAAAAATACTAAATTAATAGGTATAGATTCTATACTGAGGCCATAAATATCCAAAATAAATATCAAAATTAGGAAAACTACACTAGCTAAATAGTCACATATTATCAAACTGGATACAATCAGATCCAACACTTTCAGGTAAATACACATTTATGCTGAAGACCTAGCAGGACTTAATCACAGACAAATTTACAATAAGTAAAACACAGTTAAATCTATATATTGTAAAGTCTTTGTAAATCCGCACTTAAAATGTAAATTTTAATATTGGCGGTAGACTATCACACAGCTTTAGCAATGATTTCACTTTATTCTATTACTATAGATGCATTTCGGTCCTTTTCTAAAAAAGGTCCCTCTTCAGTACTATAAAATACAAAAGTTTACATAAACTTTTTCAGCAAGTAAATATTTAACATAACAATAAATATTTTAGTATTACAATACCATTTGAGTACACAGTTTTATTTATACATCCCTTTAGCACTTTTATCTTGAGCGCACTAAATTATTTTTATTTATGTCTTGCTGTAATAAATTTTACTCTATATTAGATCTAACAATTATACTCAATAAAACTTTTAAAAATCTACAAAAATNGAAAAATTACTTTTCCATTGCCTATAAAACAAATTTTCAAAATATTACTGGTTTGGTTTACTGCTAAATTTTAAATTTTGACTCCAAATGCAAAAATTAGCACAACAGTGATCACTAGTAACAATCACTAGTGTGCTACATCAATTGAATTCCCTTTCTTGCTTGTAAAAATAGAACATACTATAATTTTCAGTCATTGTGATTAAAAAGTGGTCAATGCATATGCTCACATTCAGGTAAAATTGTTTTATTTTGCCAACTAAAACTGCAAATACATTCTAGATATTACAGCTAACAAAACAAATTGCCAAACTGTCAGCATAATGATGTAATATGATATTTTAAAACTTGTAAAGTGGTAATTTAAAAGATAAATGATGTAAACTACTTTTATAGTTTAAATAAAAACATTTGAAACTTCTATGTCTTTTAATATATATATACATGAAAGTATATACATATAAATATTTAATTTCAAAAATATTATTATATGTTTATCTATTTTTACCAAATTTACCAATAAAAAGTATCAAATTACTGGCATATTTATTGATGCATTTTTACCTGATTAATAGTAAACCAATAAATCAGTTTACCAGTAATGCAATCCTTAATCCAATAAGTAGTAAAGTGTAAGTATTTAAATTGGATGCTTTCTCCTATTATGTATAGTACTTTGTATTGTTCAAAATTTTCAGTTATTCATTTTTATTAGAATAATATTTGTTTTCTTTGTTTTACTTATTATTTTATTCATACTGAGCATACTTTATTCATACATAACAACAATTACAATAATAATAAATTAAAACCGATGGAACTGACTTGTAACTATCTCTTTGTAGAGAGGGAAGAGTTCATGATTGCTGTAGAAGACCAAGCCATAAATACAAGAAACTACAGAAAGTACATCTTAAAAAAACATAACACTTGCAGAAAATGTCACATATGCATGAAACTATATGACATCAAGATTGCAACCTGATATAGGTTGCAAGCTTAATAAAAACTGACTACTTACATCAACCTAACCAAATAGCAAATGTAACAAGAGGGTAATTCAAAAAGTAAGGTAACAAGAGCTCTCCTGTACAAATTTTATTTTACAGGAGGATATAGTGATACAGATTATTATGGCACTGGGTACATATTTTTCAACATAGTCACCATGCTTGTCCAAACATTTATTCCAACGATATACCAAGGCATCGATACCAGCAGAGAAGAAATCTATGTCAAGTCCCTTCAGCCATGCTATGATGGCTTGCTGAACTTCCATATCAGTTTGGAATTTCCTATCACCCAGATGTTTCTTCAATGGTCTGAAGAGATGGAAATCATAGGGTGCCAGGTTGGAGTTATAGGGAGGATGTTCCAGTACCTCCCACTTGAAACACTGTAACAATTCAGTTTGCTCAGTTTTCACATCTGTCCTGTCTTTATCAAACTCAGTGCACCAAACCCACACCTGTTTTTGTGACATGACATTACCACCATATACCTCAGCAAGTTGACAATGAATTTCTATTGGTGAGTTACCCTTCAGACCAAATCACACTACACACTTCCATGTTTGATCACTTTTCCGTGAGTGCAACCATTTTCAAAATGACATTGCAAGAGTCTGATGCAACATTTGTGCCACCTAATGCCTGTATGATAAAGCTGCAGTCTTCTGCTGCTGCCCTAATGGGAAATTTGAACAAGAGGAGGAATATGACACTCATGAGAGCTCTTGTTATCTACTTTTTAAATAACCCTCGTATATCTAAAACTTTACAAATACAAACTATTATGCATCCAGAAACCTTATTAAAAATACATATCTCAGTCAGTCATAGAAAACAACACACATAAAATATACTGTGACTGAGTCTTAATCAAAGACAAAACAATCCATCACAACAGACCAGACATCACATTTGTTGACACAGAAAAGTCACATATATCATAGGTTCTAAATACTCAACATACATACATTGAAAAATAAATACTCAGACTCTCCCACAAAATAAAGCATCTGTGGAAAATGTAAGATAATTATTACATCAATAGTCCTTTGTTGCACAGGAATCAGGCCACATACACTACAGAAAAGTCTTGTAACATTAGGGCTTTACATCAGCATATACATTATGCTATAGAAAGCAGCAATAATAAACACATGTCATATAGATAGGAAATTTCCTATAATAAAAATAATAATAATTTTTTCTTACCTGTAAAGTCAAAATGTTATCAGTTTACTGCTAACTTATTGGTAAGTTTTAAATTTTGACTCCAAATGCAAAAATTAGCACAACAGTGATCACTAGTAACAATCACTAGTGTGCTACATCAATTGAATTCCCTTTCTTGCTTGTAAAAATAGAACATACTATAATTTTCAGTCATTGTGATTAAAAAGTGGTCAATGCATATGCTCACATTCAGGTAAAATTGTTTTATTTTGCCAACTAAAACTGCAAATACATTCTAGATATTACAGCTAACAAAACAAATTGCCAAACTGTCAGCATAATGATGTAATATGATATTTTAAAACTTGTAAAGTGGTAATTTAAAAGATAAATGATGTAAACTACTTTTATAGTTTAAATAAAAACATTTGAAACTTCTATGTCTTTTAATATATATATACATGAAAGTATATACATATAAATATTTAATTTCAAAAATATTATTATATGTTTATCTATTTTTACCAAATTTACCAATAAAAAGTATCAAATTACTGGCATATTTATTGATGCATTTTTACCTGATTAATAGTAAACCAATAAATCAGTTTACCAGTAATGCAATCCTTAATCCAATAAGTAGTAAAGTGTAAGTATTTAAATTGGATGCTTTCTCCTATTATGTATAGTACTTTGTATTGTTCAAAATTTTCAGTTATTCATTTTTATTAGAATAATATTTCTTTTCTTTGTTTTACTTATTATTTTATTCATACTGAGCATACTTTATTCATACATANTATTAAATCTTTAAAAAATTATTTTAATTCTGTTGTAATTCATTATCTTATTAAACACCTAACTTATATAGGCTTAACTAACAGATTGATTGAGGCCAGAATAAAAGAACAAAAATATGACATCCTTAAAGGAAATTATAACACTGCCTTAGCCCAATATACAAGCAAGCCTAGGATGATCCATGTTGGAAAGATGCAAAATTATTAAGAAAAATATTTTATGTGCAAAAATTAAGAATAATTGAAAACATCCACATCTATAAAGTAGCAAGCTAACAGCTCTGCATTAACAACAGAGAAAGCCTTAGCATATTGCAAGCTTGGCAAGCATTTTTATCTAAATGTACTTAAACAATTAATAATTTTTTATTAATTGCCTCTATGTGCTTAGTATTTAATATAGGTTCTTTTATATTTGCAATAAATAATTTTATTTAAATTTATAAATCTAAAGTTATAACATAAAAAATTTAAATAACCTTAAAGAAACGTTGAATTGTTCCATTTTGGAACATAGCATAACTCCTTCTAAATAGAATGGCTTCTAACCTGAAGAAGACTTGTAAATCAAGCCAAAAACATTTGTTAGAACTATTAAGAAGTGCAGAAAACGTATGAAAAGGTGTGTTTTTTCTATACAGTTTATAAAAGTTCCAGCTTATGGTAGAAGATTTAGTTTTTAATAATAATAAGTTAACATTAATTAAAATGAACACATTCAGGTTATGTCATTGGGCCAATGGTATTATTATAAATTATCAATTATATACAAGAAGTATTTAATATATTCGTAAGTTTTCTTAGTAGTTTAACACTGGAAAAAAAGGGCATCAACGTTGTCTATTATCTCCATATTTGTTCAACCTATACAGAGAATTTATATTCAGGGAGGCAAAGCTAGATGAGATGGCAGCTGGAATCAATATAGGAGGCCAGCATATCAACAGCTTAAGATATGCATATGACACCACTTTGTTAGCAGGAAGCAAAGAAATACTGGAGCTTGTTATCAAGAGAATATAGTCAGAAAGTGAAAAGACAGAATTAAACATAAATAAGGCAAAATTTTATGTTGAGTATTGACCCCAATGAGTTTAGGGTTGGTGGGGACAAGATTTAGGTTATCAACAGTTTCATCTATCTTGGCACTATAATAGAAAAGAAGGGACAATATGCTAAGGAAATAAGGAGAAGGATATCCCTTGGAAGAAAGGCCATGACACATTTGGAAAAAGTAATGTGGGCAGAGACATATCAGACAGGAATGTCCACAGCAATAAAAAATCAAACTAAACAACAAGACCATAGTGTTATGGTCTCTCCTACGATGTTGTACAGTTGCAAAAAATGGACTGTAAAAACAAGAGAATAAAAATGGATTGATGCAATCAAGATTTGGGTTTGGAAACATCTATTGAAAATACCATGAACTGCCAAACAAACAAATTAGTCATAGACCAGATCAAGCCAAAATATATACTTGAGGCTTTAATATGCAAGCAGAGCCTGTCATATTTTGGATCCAAAATATATATAGACAAAGGACTCAAAAAGATATGCTAGGCAAGTTGGAGGAAGCAAGAAGAGGAAGACAAAGAACAAGGTGGAAACATGTATCCATGTCAACAAGACGAGCAGCCTGACCTTGGAAGACCTAAAAAAGATAACAAGATAGGACAAGATTGCAAGAGTTTATCCATAATGTCACCAGAAGTCGAATTCAACTTGACAACACTTAACTAACTATTTCAAGTGTTATGTGAAAGTTTACCATATTTCAATTCTTTTAAGAAAGATTATAATATGCTAATTTTATGGTATTGCAGTAAACAGTAGATATTATTATTAATTTAATTAATTAATTAATTAATATAACAATAAAAATATTTGTATATCAAATCCATGCAACTATAAAAAATATCAGCTATTTATTGATTAAAATATTTCATAGGTCACTTTTTTTGTCTTAATTCTTCAGCTTTTTGAAAGTCTTTAAAAAGTTCATGAGGAGATTGAATGATTTGTTTATGGTTAATTAATGGTACTTGTTTTTTGTTCTTGTAGGTAATAATGATATAAATATTTACAAATATTTTATGAAATAAAAAAATTATTCACATTTATTTATCTTCTANTTAATTTGAGTATTTAAAAATAAAAAAAACGCTTAACAAATGATTTTTATGTTATATTAGTAAATATCAACAAATTGACTAAATATCTAATGCTTCTTCCTTCTATGTATATTAACAATGACATTTCTAGTAATTGAACTGCTTATGAGGTCTGTTCAAAAAATACGCAGACTGTTTGAATTGTGCAGCTCAGCTCAGTCCAGTTGGTTCCGGGGAAATCTGCTTGGTGTCGCTAGGCTTGTACAGATCATCTGGTGATAAAGTCATTTCCCAATTACAGATATTTTGATTTGTTGATTAGCTATGCGGTTTTTAGTGAAGTGTGATTTTTTCGCTTGTCAGATTTCAGAATGAATTACCTGATGGAGCAACCAATGACTTGCTGTGAAATTTTGTGTTAAACTTGGAAAATCTTGCTATGCTCAAGACGGCTTATGGTGATGTTGCTATGAAGTGTACGGCATGTTTCAAGTGGTCCTCCAAACCCAAAAAAGCTCGCCAAGTTCGATCCAATGTCAAGGTGATGCTGACAGTTTTCTTTGATGCTAAGGGTGTTGTTCATCACGAGTACCTCCCTCAAGGCTCCACAGTGAACCAGACTTACTACATGTCATCAGTTCTGAAACGTCTGAGGAATGCCATCCATCACAAAAAGCCAGAAATGTGGAAGAGTGGCGACTGGTTTCTCCATCACGACAATGCTCCAGTCCATTCAGCTTTCAGAACTCGTGAGTTTTTGGCCAAACACACAATCACTGTTCTTCCCCATCCCTCCTACTCACCTGACCTTGCTCCTTGTGACTTTTTCTTGTTCCCCAAACTCAAAAGACCCTTGAAAGGAAGAAGATTTGAGATGATTCCCAATATTAAGGCAAATGTGATGAAGGCGTTGAAGGATATCACAAAAGAAGCGTACCAGGACTGTTTCAAGAAGTGGAAACACCGTTGGGATAAGTGTGTGTGTTCGGAAGGAGAGTACTATGAAGGGAACCCAGACATGTAACTTCTACATAAAGTACATTTTGTTTTATGATGTCAGTCCGCATATTTTTTGAACAGACCTTGTAAATATAGATTAAATGAGAAATTCTGTTTGATCAAAAATCTGAAAAATATCTAATCAAGAAACTTAATTGATTGTAATAAACAAAGAATTATCAGTCATCTATGCATATTTACATTTATAATGAATTTATAATAATTATATCAGAATTTAAAAACTAAAAACTTTTTGCTGTAATATTGAACCAACATAAATACTAAAAATTTATTCCATTACTAAGTCAGTACAAGTTTATAATAATGCAATTATTATGAAATTCAACACTAATATTAAAAATTATTTTAGCTTAAAAATAAAAATAATAATAAAATACACTTCAATATTTAATATACCTTATTTTCTTCCAAAGCTTCATCAATTTTCTTTTTCATCATTTCTTGGAACTGCACCTGATTTTTATTTTGAAGTTTATCTTTATATTCATATAATAAATTTCTTTGACGAGCATTTAAATCTGCCTGAAATTATAAATTTAAATAAATTGTCAAAACATAGTTTTTATTTTAATAAAATAAATTATAAAAAGCAAAGATAACATAATACAAATTAATTCAAATAATATACACATGACACTTAAATGAAATATAACACGCATATGTACGTGTGTTAAATTTATCTCAAATGTGAACTACAGAATTACAGATTACTTACATACATACATATGCACATATGTATGTAAGTAAACTGTAATTATGTAGTTTACATTTGAGATAAATTTTAATTACAAATTTTTAATTACATTCTAATTACAAAAAATTAATACATATAATGCAATAAGAAATAAAAAAATTTAATAAAAATAATTAAGAAATAAAAAGATATAATTTTTCTGTAAAACTCCAATTAATATATTGCCTCTCTCTTCAAAACAAAAATTATTTAAATTCACAAAGTAAAAAATTAAGACTTAATTTTAAATTTTTATTCAAAATGTCAGAAGATAAATATTTATGACTGTAATGATTAATGGCAAAATCTATTTACAACTAAAACAAATCATTACAAAATTATTATTTTTGCAATCTGAATACAATAGAGCATTGATTAATCAAATATCTGAACTTGTTAAAGATTAATCAAAATAATTATTTTGATTAATCAGACAATCTGGAACAAGTTCAGATAGCCAATTTTTTCAGATAACCAATTACAGTTGGTAAAGAAAAACTAAAAAGATAAATACCTTAAATAAAGTTAAAATATTATTTTTAATTCTACTACAATAGTAGAAAAAGGTTAAGGTATATAAATTTAATATGAATGAGAAGAAACAACAATAAAACTTGTCTAATTTATTAAAAACAAGCAGTAGTCCTTCATTGCAATCTACAATGTATTAATTAAACCTTGAATTCAAAGTAAAAAATATATAATAAAATTAATATTAAACAAAGTTCATTATCCACATAAAAATTGTTTATTAGTTCTTTTTTTAAAAAAAGTCTCTTATCTTGCTTTGTTTTACATAGTCTTTCTTTTTCTTAATTCTGCTAAATCCATGGCATGCTTGATTGTCATGAGAGTTGAAAAATTTGATTCAGGTTGTATTTCTAACTATACCAACACTATGTATAATGCATCGAAAACTTCATCATGCATACTAGTAGTGAAACATTTGATGCATTAGAAGTCTGTGAGGCTTTTTTTATTTGTACTGTAATAAATAAAACGTAACACCAGTGTTGATAATGAGATAGCTCAATAGCTATTCTGCAGAAAATAACTGACAATAGTAACTATGTAAAATCTTTATGATTTTTTATATTAATACTCTATGACTTTGAATCAATTTTTAGATAATTGATTTTCACATAATTAACACTCTAGTGCAGTGATGACAAACTTTTTTCCATATAGGTTGGTCAAAATTCAATTTGAAATTTATTAACTCCAAATTGCACATGAAATATTTAATTTGAGTATTTAAAAATAAAAAAAACGCTTACAAATTTTAATGTATTTTACTTTTTAATCTATATGATAAAAATAACAACAAGCTTAATATAAGCAAACAGATAATAATAATATTTTCATTTCCAAAATATTGATTTCCATTATAATCATATTATAATGGAAATAAATATTTCATTTAACAGAAAATTTTCTGTTGTTTGTTTGATGATAATTTTTCTATCTGAAATTCATAATCAGTGGCCTTTAGAACTTTTTTATGTGCAGAGTTATAAAAAAAATATTTGATAGATTTCAAATTTATAAAAAACTAATTATTTCTAAAATTTCAATGTGACTGCCTTGAAATTGTTGCATAGGTCACAGTACATATCAAAATATTAATAATGCACTTGATAGAAATTACACCATTTCTTTTCTTTAACTACTATTTCTTACTGTATAAAATTTAACATGATTTTGTTTCAAAAGAAAAATGATAATAAATTAATCTATAACTAAATAAATATATTAATACATAACAGTTTCCTTCAATTTAATAGACATAAAATGATAATGGAACAAATTTAAACTTACTTCAGAAATTCCATCTTCAGATGAGCATTTTAAAACTTCATATAACTCTTCTCCTGTATTTAAGTCTTCAACTTGAGATAAACTTATTTGACAGTCTCTTTTATTATTCTTCAGTTTCTTATTTTCTATATTATATGAATAAGAGTGTTAGATATTTGAAATTTATTATTAAGAGTTTTTATTATACATCTTCAATAGTATACTTTAATTATTTTTTGTTAATTATTTTGAATTTATTCCAATACTATAATATGTTAAAATAATTTTAGAACAGACAATCAAATTATATAATGGACAATCATGTAATTCTATTTTCTAATTCTATATTTATTTAAATAAATTTATAGAAAAAACAAACTATAAACATTTTTCTAAAATACTCAGAAAATTCAAATTTATTCAATATTTATATCATTAATGATTACAAAGAGAGCACTTTTTGGATTGCAACTTTGAAATTGCAGACCTATATATATTCCCACTGTCATATATCTGTTCTTTATTAATCTCAAGAATGGAATTAGAAGAAAATAGCGACCAGATATAGAAAGTTTAGTGACTCCAGTCTCTAAACTTTCCGTATCTGATCTCTATTTAATTAATTATGTATGAACTTCCAGTCTGGACTGAAGGTCATGTAATTTTTTAAAAATTAAAATATGATTAAAAATTACAGCTGAGCATTGTAATAATGTCATAATAAATGATTGCTTTTATTTCACTATAACATGTATAATCCATTTATCATAACTTCAATTCTGACATTCAGTAGTAACAAAAAGTATTTTATAAATTTATGCATTAAAATGATATAATGTATTTTCATTTTTCTAGTTGTCATGTGAAAATATCAATATCAAAATATAAATTATATCTTCTGTTCCTATTTTTGATTAAAAAAAATTTAGCATGATTATAAGTTTGATGAATGAATGAAACCCAAATCATATGAGGTGGTATCAGAAAGTTCCCAGACTGTAGTTGATATAATGGTATCATTCAACTGAACTGTTTGTACTGCTGAATCAGCATACTGAGTGGTATCAGAGAATGAACACGCATTCAATCATTACACATGATTTTGTAGTGTGAGGACCACTCTGTCATTTTGATGATGCCTGACAAATTTAAGCAACATGCATCCATAAAATTTTCTGTCAAGCTTGGGTAATCTACCATTGTGACCCTCAAACTGTTTCAACAGGTTACAGGTTTACAATGGCCATTCATTAAGCCAAACACTGGGTTTTGAGTGGCATGTGTACGTATTTCAAACCATGCTCATTGTTTTTTCAATATTAAGGGCATCATTCACTGAGAATTTGTTCCTCCTGGCATGTAGTCAAATCTGATTTTTACTGCAATGATTTGAAGCACTTGAGAGATGTGCAACAAAAAGACTGGAATGCAATGACTATTGGCTGTTGCATCATGACACCTACTTACATCTCACTGATGACAAAGCAGTTTGTGGCAGAAAACAAGATGGTAGTTTCTCATAACCTCTGTACTTACCTGACTTAGCCCCTGTGACTTTTCCTTGTTCTCCAAAATGAAATTGAAGTTAAAAGGGCTCGTTTTGAGAGCATCAATAAAATCCAAATGGAATCACAAGCTGTATTGGCCTACTTTCAGAAAGTGGACTTCCATGGTGTCTTTGAGTTGTGGAAGAGGTGCTGGGATTACTGTATAATTCCCAAGGGAAATTCAAAGGGATAGTGGCCAGATTTGAATAAGATAACGTTGTAACTTTTTATAAGCCTAGTCTGAGAACTTTCCAGTACCACCTTGTAAAGAGTCATTACTAACATAAAAAAATGAATAAAAGATTGTAAATGAACTGTAAGGTTTTATTGCAAACAACAGAAGCTGTACTGTATATTTTATTAAACAGATTGCAAATAAAATAAAATTTTTAATTGAGAAAGCTAATAAATCTATCATAAATTTTTCGAATCAAAACGTAGCTTTGTTATTATTTAATAATGTATTTTTATAAAAAATAAATCTAGGTCCTTTAATTAATACATTTCATATCATTTATCAAATCAATTAGGATAATATAACTAAAATGTAACAATTATAATTTAAACTACATAAAATGTACTTGCATTTTAAAAAATAACTGATAATAACAAATCAGACCTTTACTGCTTTCCAGGAGTATTACATACAAATTACTAATACATACATAAATTACTAATTACATACAAATGTCTAACCTAAGCCATCATCAGAGGTTCCAAACACATTTTACAAAATTTAGAACAGAATGTATCTAATTTTGATAGTTTTAAAACTAAAGACTTGAATATTATCAAATCAAACACAAATTCAAAATTAATTACATTATTACCTACAATTTAAAACTTTCTTATTTACACTTAACTATCATCTTGATAAAAATTCTATCCAGATAACAACAAACTTTGTTTTAGTTAAATACAAATAAAAATGTTTTAAACTGTAGTCTTTCACGGAAGAAGAATGGAATCAATATATTACAAAATTAAAAATATGTTTAAACTGTTATAATCTTCTTACACAATGTACAACATTTTTGCAAAAATTAAGATTATATATATACAGTAGAGCGTCGATTATCTGAATCAATTGGGGACTGGGTTTGCTCAGAAAATCGATATTTCGGATAATCGATTATGTACAAAAAAATAAAAAATAAATTAATTTATCCCATGTTGAAATTTTTCTCCATTGCATGTCGCTTTGCGTTGAATTTTCATCGGTGTTAAGCCTAACGAAGACTATTGTATCGTTAAAAATTATTTTTTTATTTCGTACAAACAAAATAAATATATTGAAAAATATAAAAACAATAAAAAATTATACTTCAGAAATTAATTTAGTATCAAAAACGTAAAATATTTGAGTAGCCCAAGACATAGCCAAAGTTTGCAGTGCCACAGCACTTGCAAAAATTTAAATTTGTTGATTGGAATTCTTTCGGATAATTGACGTTTTGGATAATTGACTTTTGGATAATCGACGCTCTACTGTATAAAAAAAATGTAACACAATGTCATATGTGTGTTTGTTTTTTTATAATAATTAACAACTCAATTTTTACCAAAAAATATGTTTGTTTTGTTTGGTTAGCTGATTGACTAAATACATTTTTATTTAACTATTTATGCTCCAATTTTTTAATGGTATTTTTATCTTTATTAGCATTTGCCTAATTTTGTAAAAAAAATTACCGTATATTCTGGTGTATAAGACGACTTTTTAACCCAAGAAAATCTTCTCAAAAGTCAGGGGTCGTCTTATAGGGAGAGTATATCCCAAACTCTATATTTTAACTGTAAAAGTCGGGGGTCGTCTTATACACCCAGTCGTCTTATACGCCAGAATATACGGTATCTATATGATCCAAGTTCACAAAATTTATTTACAGTTAATAATTTGCAATGTATGTCAATGTCAATTGATACATTGAGATCTACAGACATTGTAAATTATTAACTGTAACAAATCAATTTAAAAATTGATATGTTGAGATCATAATAAATAAACTTCATAATTTTTTAGTTTCCCAAAATGTCCATATAAATTACATAAACTGAAAGTAGATATATAGTAGTACATGCAAGCATCACATTAAAGTCACTGCAGGAAAACATAATAATAGTAATAATTTTGCTAATATCACTTTTAAATTGTCAAATAATCTTAAGTTTTGTTTGTTATTTAAAGAGAGAATGCTACAATTATTATTTAAATATATTAATAGATTAATAGATAGAAACTAAAAGGAACAGATTAACTTGAAGAAGTTAATTTATATCTCTTAGTTTTTAAGCAGTCTAATATATCATATGACTAATTTGTTTTGTAATTTTGGTCAAATAATTGATTTTTGACAAACAAACAAATAGATATCAGTTTAAATCTATTCTTAAAATTACCATCATCATAAAACGTCTCCAATATTCATCAATTATTTTATCATGAAATGAAAACTGGAAAACTAGAAAGAAAAATAGTGATTACTTTTTCTCACTAAGAGAAATTCTATAAATTTGAATGAAATTTAATGTTTAATTTAGTGTTTATTTAAAATAAATTAAAAGAAATATTTTATCAATAATTAATATTTGGGAGAAACAATTGATATTTTATTTTAAAAAATATCAATTCAATACCTTAAATAAATTTATATCACATGCATACCTTCTTTCTCTTGTAAAATTTCAAATTCCTTTTGAACTGAAACTGACAATTTTTCTAGTTGTAAATTTCTTAATTTCATATGATTATCAGCTGCTTTCATTTCAGTTTTTTCATTGTGAAAAATAATATTTCCATTTTGCAATTTTTCCATGAACTATATTTTAAAATATAATTTAATAATAATAATTAAAAATCTTTAAATATAAAAACAAAATTATATACATATAATGTATTATATCACATAATATAATGTATTCTTATAATTATATCTATATATTAGATACTGTCTTATGTAATATTATATTTACAGTTTAGAACAGAATCAGTTTTATATAAAACAATGTTGACTTTTTACTATTTCCTTACATGTACATTTCACATAAATGGCAATATTTATTTAGCATAATTTCAATTTATCATTTTTAATGATACTATTAATATCAATAATAATAATAATAATAAACTATATTTGAATTGAATTGGCTTTGTTAAGATGTAGTTCCAGTACATTATGGGCTATTCGTTCACAACTTTGCTCATTTTAAGCAGGTCCAACTGCAAGAATGAGATGGAGAAAAATATCCTAACTTGAGTTTTCCATTAAAAATGTCTTAAAGTCTGGATTGAATTTGATTTCTGACTCTTAACAGAGTAAGTAAATAGTATGCATAATCATCTAGTCAATTTCATCTGTAGTTCTAATTACAGTAGAGCGTTGATTTTCCGAAAGTCAATCATCCGAAAGAATTCCAGTCGGCAAATTTAAATTTTCGCCAGTGCTGTGGCGCTTCAATCTTTGGCTATGTCTTGGGCTACTCGAATATTTTACGTTTTTGATAGTAAATTAACATCTGAAGTATAATTTTTTATTGTTTTTATATTTTTCAATATATTTATTTTGTTTGTACAAAATAAAAAAATAATTTTTAACGATACAATAGTCTTTGTTAAGCTTAACATCGACGAAAATTCAACGCAAAGCGACACGCAACGGAGAAAAATTTCGACATCAGATATGTTAAACTATTTTTTCGTACGTAAATCAGTTATCCGAAATATCACTTATCCGGACAACCCCAGTCCCCAAATGATTCGGAAAATCGATGCTCTACTGTAATTTCCTCAAACTAGTTGTTAATAATTTTTAAGCAAGAAAAAAAATCAAATCATTATACCTTTGAAATAACTTAAAATTATGATAATAAATACTTTAAACAGTAGTTTTACCAAACGACTCTACACAAACCCAATACATTATAATCATAAAGCCAACCATTGCCATATACAATATGTAAAAAGAAAAACTTTTTCATATTTTAAAAGTTTTTCTTTTTACGTATTGTAGGCCTGTTCATAATGTAATCTTAGTACTGTGCAGTGTGGATGGAAATAAATCTTGAATAGGTATGTTTTAAATTGTAGATTGTAATTGTTGTTAGTTTCTCTGCAAATTTGTTTCTACAACAGCTACCAATATATTTTTTACGCATAGCTGATGAGGGTCTTGTGTACTGAAATGCATACCAGTAATAAAGTTGCATTCTGAAGATAGAAGTGTCATTTTAATGTTACCCGTAGCAGTGTGATAAGTCTCGGTTATCTCTACTATTGTATTTGAGATATTAGTTTCGACAATTATTGAGACAAGAAGCTCTTTTATGACTTAGTTATTTTGATGTACAACTACACAAACTTTCATTTTATAGTAATATATAACAAACAAATATGAAATGTATGCATGTTTGTGTTTGTTTTGTTGCACACATCTATCAAAATACAGATAGATAGATACCCCTCAACTTATAATATTTTGACTTTACAATAGTGTGATAGTGATGCAAATCAGTAATCATTAAATTTTGAATTTTATTCTGTTTCAAGGTCAGTATTTTCTAGTTTCTTCTTCATTGCTTTGTTGCTACTCAGCCATTCCTATTTGGTATCTAACTTAGGTTTCATCCTTATTAGTCTTTAATCTTAAAATCTTTTTGATATGAGAAAATCTATAAAAATATGCGTAAAGTCAATAACAAGGTTGAGGCCAAAGTTTTAAATGTGAAAACGTGTACATCGAATGTTCAGCACTGCTTTCCTGTAAGTGTAGAAGTTTGACAATGGTGTTTGGATAGTCAGTGGAATCATGCTCGACATTCCAAACACCATTGTCAAACTTCTAGGCTTACAGGAAAGTGGCGCTGAACGTCCGACGTACACGTTTTCGTGTTTAAAACTTCGGCCTCAACCTTGCTAATAAATGTAGATTTCATGACAAATTAATAATCTCATTCATTTTAAGTGATTAACTTAATTCTCTAAAGAAAATTAACATTTTCTAAAATTCTCAAAAAATATTTAACTAGCTTTAATCTCTATAGAATGTCAGCCTCAATATTTAAAGAAACAGACTTAAGATTATTTTATAAATACTTTACAAATTGATTATCTCCTAAAATATGATTATTTAGACAAAGACTACAAGAATTAAATTTCGCTCTCTCTTAGGTACATAATGATCCTTCTCCCAGTCATAATTTATTACCTGAATTCTTTAAAAATTGCATATCATAAGCTAAATAAGCATTATTAAATTGGTATAATAATATGTACACATTGAAGTCAATTCCAGATGACTGGAACAAAATTATTTACATCAAAAGGTATGCATGAAATTCTTGACAATTACAGCAATATTTCGGCATTTGGTTGGTGTTTAGCTATAGCAATAGCTCTTTTGATTAATTGTAGAATAGTGTTTTGTCACATATTAAAGAATAGATTAATTCATTGAATGTGTTGCCTTTAATTCTTCTTTTTGATTGTGGTTTGTTCTTGTTTTTTTTTTCTTTGTCTTATTTGTTTTAATCTTGCTGTTTGATGCTAGAGAGAAATTTGAGAATTTTCATTTGTTAAGGGAAAAGGTACTTCAAATTTGGCTTTTATTCTCTGCAGACTTATACACCTTACAAAATCATGTTTATTAGCTTCTTTGTGATCTTTCAAAAGCTTTTAACTATTTAACATAAATAAATTGATTAGTATGCTAATAAAATTAATCTTTATGCTAAATTTATTTGAATTCTTTTTAAGTTATTTTTTGACTTTATGCATTTGTTAAAAAAAAATTTTCTAAAACTGTGGAATGCTCTAGGTCTCCCACAGGGTGACCCACTTAATTTGTATCTTTTTATATTATATACAGGTATAACTGATCTTCAATCACATATTTTGAAATTTTCTTCAGATAATATTCAGGTTGCTAAGTACAAAATAACCTACTTATCATATGTGGATGGCACAGTTATAACACCCCATACTAAAATTGATCTTCAAAGAAAAATCAACACATTTAAGAATTATTGCAAATAAAAAAATCTTGAAATAAATATTACTAAGTCAAAAATTTTAGTTTAGAGAGAAGCTGGTGATTTTGAAATATAGTTAAATGGCTTTTTTATGTCAAATAAAAGTGGTTAATTAATACAAAATTTAGGTGTGATATTTGATACTAGGGGGTATGGTCGGAATGCAAAAAAAGTCGGATTATCATAAAAAAGTAAAATAAACAATCTTCCCCTTTGTCCAGTCTTTCTAGCACTGCTAATTTTTCATTTAATGAAAGAGTAACGTGTTTATGTTTCACTCCTGAATGTTGAAAACACATACAAAACTATACATGTACACACAATGTAAAACATACAATGTAACAAACACAGAAAAACGCCACGGATGGTGAGTCACCGACGATTCGGGACAAGTTTCTCGACTCCGACCACGGTCGGATTAACCGGAGTGACGGACTAGCCGAGGCCGGACTAGAGGGGTTCTACTGTAAATTATATATAAATTAGGTACTGTATATATAATTATATATTAACTTAATTTATTGTAACTTTATTATAATTATATATATACTTTCCGCCATCTAGCGCCACGCTATGGACAGTTTAGGTGAGCTATCGTCTGTACAGTATGTAAATTAGGTACTGTAAGTCTAATACAGCACTGTAATTTTATACATTTCTTGTGAAAGAAACATTTCTTATTCAACGGCGATTAAAATTATTTATATTAATGATGTCACCAAAGTTCAACGAAGTTTTCACAGAAAAATAACATCAGAAATCGCGGCCGCGGTTTGCTGCGCTGTTCCGCGACGAAAACAAGCTTGAGCAATGGCGATGTCGAATGGTGCACACACGGTAAGTAATCCTACAATTTTTTGTTTATAGCGTAGTTTAAATGGATTATTTCCAAAAAAATATATGTATTTTGGAAATGTTGAGTCTGATTAGTCTAGAATCGATTAATTTTATGGAAGAAAACCTTTCAAACAGCCATAGTCCATAAACTTCACACATGTCGGGCTGTGATTGGCTGTGATTCCTACAAAATTGATTCATAAAGAACGGAATGTATCTACCGTCTTATAGGGGAATTGACTGTATATTATCTTTTAACACTCATTTTACATATAAAATGTCTGTTCAAATAAACAAAAGTTTAATTTTCTTATTTTCTACAATAAAAGTTATTAATTTAAAAGTGGTCTATTGATTATTTCAATCTGTGTGCTTAAATGCTTGTTTTTATCTAGCTCCATGATGAGCCTTGAGTGTTTTAGACAAATTAGTGAGTATTCAGTCTCATTTCCTTAGATTACTTCTTAAACTGGATCATTCTGTACCTAGATATACAATTAGAACAGAGACAGGATGATACCCACTGAAGACTAGCACTATCAAATTGTTCAGAAATTTTCTTAAAAGTATTATTCAATCACCAGGGCCTTTTGAATTTGCATTATTACAAAGAATTATTGATGAAGCAATAAAAAATTGAGCTACACAATGGTTTAAAGATCTCTCTTCAATTGTTTTTTCTTCAGGTTGCATCCTACTTATATATTGGCTAATGTAACAAACAGTAATAGATGCTGACCACAGATTAATACCTGGTAGTTATAGCATTTATTGAAACTTGATTATAAAAAACTTAATTGTTCTAAATTCCATCCACAGTACTCATTTATTATGGAAAATGCACTTTCAATATAATTTTAGTTATGACATTACAAATTACGTTAAATATATTAAATTTATGAAATGATAATCAATTATTAAAATTATATTCTAATAATTTTTCTGAATATCAAAAAAATAATTCAATTATACATCTTATAAAATATAAAAAAAATTAATTTGTTGAAAGAAAAATGTTTTAATGTAAATATACTATCAGAAAATGATGTTATGCCGTTTTATTCTAGATATTCAGTGTATAAATAGGTACAATTCATAAAATCTGTTCATCTCTGATAGAGCAATCATCTAATTAATAACCAAAAAATTAAATATAATCTGTAATATTTAAAAAATTTTAATTTATGTTAATCATTGGTATGTTTTTTCATTTTGTATTTCTCCACCAGATAAGGGAGACTCCATGTATGTCTGTAAATAAATAAATAAGTAAAATAAAATAAATATCTAAGCAAGGAGGATATCTTTACAGTATTATAATTAAACATATCAAATTAAAATAATTTACCAATAAAGGATATACTCTTTGTATTATGCATTCAACACAACCAATAATTCCACCATCAGAAAACAAAGAGGAAAAGGAAACAGGAAATGGCTTAGGAGATTTATAATATCCCAATTTTGCATCCCAACGAGCTCTTCTCATAGAATTTGTACTTATTTTCAGCATTAATTCTGGAGATGCCTAAAATATTTAAAACCAGTAACTATTGTAAAATTATATAAAAATTTAAATATTAAGAAAATTGTTCTTGTAATTTCTATACTATCTATTAAAATGGCCATCATTAACACATTTGTAATAATACATTATTTTCTTAAAATTAGATACAAAAACTATAGTAAAACTTACACATAATATAAAAGTAACAAAATTTTACAATTGCACAGAACAAACACTCATAATTTTACTAATAAATTTAAATTAACATATGTATACATGCTATATCAATTTAATAATTTTAAACTTAAATTATTAATACTTACTGAAAATATTTCTTTTTATACATTTATATATCTTTAAATAAGAATTAACATATAATAACCTTACTTTAGAAATCATATTTTTATTAACTTAATAAATTTTAATTAAACTAAATTAAATTTTTGAATAAATTCATTTTACTTTCAAAGTAACTCAAACAAAGATTAACTATTTAATTTTTTAAAACATTCTAGTCTTAAATCGTTAATAATAACTATAGTGTATAACAATATTTTAAAAGCTTAAACTGTTATTCTTAATGGTTTTTTATTTTCTTTCAGAAAGAATTTAAGATATCATTAAGAAAGTGTTCACAGCATGATACTGTCATAGATGCTGCCAAGATTAACAAGGTGCATATTAATGGGTTAGGCAAAAACCATGTTAAAAAAATCTGCCACAGTCTATTGGCCATCAGTGTTACTGTTAGCCAAGGATGACTACAGTAAATCTTTTGAATGCATTGGATCAAGTACGGCTTCTGCATTACATATTTGTCATCTCAGTCACACTCTGGACAAACACACACCATCCCAGCCAAACGCTTCAATGACAGTTCAGCCACTAACCACAAGACTAGAAAACATGCCAATAGAGAAGTGGACTCAAGAAATGAATGAAATCCAACATCTATACTCATTACAGAATTATTACACTTGAAATGGACATTACATAACAAACTTACACAATAATATTCACATCTCACTGTTACGGAATAAAGGGTCATTGATCAGAAAAGAATAATCAGAAATAATATCCTTATTTCACAAACTTATCAAAAAATAAATTGCAGAACTAAAACATCAATACACAAATACTAGATTATACTTCAGTGCATTAAATTTGTAATATATCATGTACAGTGGGTAATCAGATAATGAACATAAAACGTTCAAAGATAATGTTTGCTACCCGAATTGTTTGTTAACCAATTATTGATTTACCATAGATTTTTATGGGAATTTGATTAATTTGTACTAGCAACTCCAAATAAAAAAATAATTATATACTTTCTTAATTTGTTTATTTACACATAATAACAAACTAAAAGCAATCTCATTTTTTCATGGATGGCACATCTTTGTTTTCCAGATGCAATTTTTGTTACTTTTTTATCTGCTTGAGTCTTTTTGATTATATCTTTCTTAGCTAAGATTGTGCCTACTTTAGATCTGCTGAAGCCATAAAGCCATACTGCCTAGCAACATTAGACATTTTCTGCCCACTCTCTACCTTGGCTATTATCTCTTGCCAAGTTTCTATAGTGAACACAGTTCTTGACACTTCACTCTTTTTAGATCCCATAATATTATCAGTTTTTTTTAATAAAAAGTTCAGAAAAAACATTTACAAAAATTTGGAGAACATAAATCAACTAGTGCAAAATGGTTATGTATACAACTGTGAAAGTCTCATTCCTTAAACCATTCATAGATACCAGTAAAATATAGGCCTAGTTTTACAAATCTTAAATGCATTGTCACTACTTCTTGTGTTTATTCTGTGATAAAAATGAACACTACAAATACCTAAGATACCAGCGAGATTATTAAACACAAATTGAGAACATTTTCACCTGCATTAAACAGGCATTGTCACGCAAGCAAACTGTTGCGAAAAACATTGGGGGTTGCCAAACACATGTGAAGGGGTGGGGGTGTGTGGCGTAAGAAGAGGGGAGGGGATTTACAGTTCGTAGAACATCTTTCATGCAGAGGGAAAGGAGTCAACATCTCAAAAATTTATAGCTGTGTTGTGGCAGGTGAATTTGTAAATTCACCTGCTCTAGATGTTTCAGCACATGTGGGTTATATTCATTGTGTAAGAGGTGTCTCTTGGAAATCCACTTGAATGCTGGAAACAGAGACGTATTTGGTCAAAGCCATATTGTTTAATCCTTTTTTGACAGATGCTTGATGCTCTTTGAGACGGACATGTAATGGGCAAGCTCTAGCACCTATGTATTGCAGGTGGTGGTTGTATCAATGGTTGATGATGGGAATGCGATAGATGCCTGGGAGATGTCCTTGTTGGGATGGTCTTTGGCATTACGGAGTAGAGAGGAGATAGCCAGACTTCTGTGGAAATGTTTAAATTTTCTTTTATATGTATCTTTTTCTCAGAGAAAAAGATACATATAAAAAAAATTTAAAGAAAGCATAGAAATAATCAAAAATCAAAATAGCATAAATAAAAATCCTAGCATCTCCATAAGTGAAAATTGGTTAAAAATTTTATCTTAATTCACCAGCTTCAAAAATGTGTTATTATTGTAATCACTGTGCTAAATTATAATAATAAATATTGAACTGTTAAATAAATTAAATTAAAAATAGTGTACAACTGTAAAATTATAATAAGTCAGATAATATGTAAATTTATATGAATTGATAATCAGGTTTACCAACTTTAAGATATTGTATTGCTATTGTGGTCCATGTAATAATTTATAATATTAAATATTAAAATGTTAAATAAATTAATAATCATATACAACTGTAAAACTGTAAAACTGCAATAGGTGTCAGATATGCAAATTCATATTATATTGTGGATGCATATCAAAGGAAGTAAGGATTTTACAAAACTGACTTATGAGTGGAAAGTATAATCAATTGTGTACCACTTTAGTAATAGTTGTATCCATGATATGTTTTAGCAAGATAATTTTATAAATTCTATAAAATTTGTGTATAAATTTATATATATGTATTGTATACTCTTTTAATATTTTAGTTGGCTGGAAATGTTAAGAATAAGCTGATGTTACTTTAATTTATAAAACTTGTATGCACAGGTATGCTTTAGATCAATATAATTTTACAAATTCTACAAAACTTATGTATTTTTTCTATATATGTGTTGTATATCTTTTTTAATATTTTAGTTGGCTGAGGAGGGGGCTTATGAGCCCAAAACGTGTAATTTTTTTCACATGTCTCAACTAAATAAAGATGAGAAAAACTGCCAAGTGTCTTAATTTATAGCACTTTATTGTGTTAGAAGTAGAAAATTAACAATTTTATTTTAGTATTAAAATTAATATAATTTTTTACTACTTACTTCCAAAGGACTACAAGCTGATTCTGATCCAATTAATTCACTGTTACTTATTATTAATTTCTGCCCTACAGAAACTTTTCCTTTCTTTATAAAATATTGAAATCGTTGATCCACATAAGCAGGTATTTTATACCAACCATCTGTCAGTTGTACTTTATATATCTAAAACGTAATAATATAAATAAACTTGTTAACTGAGTTGCTTATCATCAATATTTACAGTGTATTTCAATAAAACTGCATTCTAAGTGAATAAAGAATCATTTCAATTTAAGTATATAAATTTATTTATTAGAATATCTCAAATATAAATATTTAATATTGTTCAATTATTTAAACCAGTGGGATCAGTGATAATATTAACACACTAAAAATAAAAAATTTTTAGTTAAAAAACAAGTAAAAATTATACTCCTTCTATTTCCGACTTCGAGAATTCTATGAGCCAAAACAAGACAAACAAATGGCAAGGAACAATCATCATTTTATTAATTTTATCCAAACGCATTTCGCCATCTAGGCCTCCTCAGTGGATACACGAATCCTTGAAGTCGGAAATAGAAGGAGTATAATTTTTACTTGTTTTTTAACTAAAA